TCGAAGTGAGACGATCAAAGAGTTCATATGTAGTAGTGAGGACTAAAAATTAGGACATTTAAAAATATATTATTTTTATTTTATGTGTATAAATGCATTGCCTGCATGTATGTAAGTGCATCCGTGTCATGCAATGCCCATGGAAGCCAGAAGAGAGCATTGGATTCCCCTGAAACTGGAGTTAGGGATGGCTGTTAGCTACCATATGGGTGCTGGGATTCAAACCAGGGTCCTCTGTAAGAGCAGCCAGTGCTCTTAGCCACTGAGCTATCCCTCCAGCCCCAAATAAAGAAGCATCTTAATAGAGTGATTTTGATATCACATACGGTGTAAACCCATGCCAAGCACCAATCTAAGCATAAGCTGAGTTAGGCAGGGGGCTTTGTTTTCAAGGGTATTTGTTGGGGACCCCTGCTGTGAAGTAGAAGTCCCTTCAAGTCCGGACAGCTCATGCAGCTCGGATTCATGTGCTGAGACTGCTTTCAGCAGAGTACCTGGCATCCTTCCTGATTCCTTTTGAAGTGCCCACCACAAATGCTCTAACATAAACATGGCCTCTGGCTCTAGGAATACCATGCTTTCCTGTGTGATTTTTCAGGTAGTCAGCAGTCTGGCAGCATGGCAGAAATCCACTTCCATATGTAAATAGAATGCCTCACAAAGTATCTATCAGCCAAAGCTTTTACCACTACCCCCGTGGTATAAATATCCCAGTCTTTCTCTCAATATCAGAGAGCTGGGTCGCAGAGAGCTGGGTTGCAGAGCTGCTGAATCACTGAGAGCAGAGACACTTAATAAAGCTGTAACACAGACTAAGCCGAGTCTTGAGTCTTGTGTCTTACTACCAGCGACCCAGCCTCTCCGGGGGGTGCACTCCTCCATTACCGATTTGCCGACATCCTAGCTTTCGCCGTCCTCGTACTCTTCCCACGTGGTCCAATGGCCAGTGGACCTCGCTTCCTGAGGAAAGTACACGGGTGAATTAAGGGCGGGATTCGGCTGGACAATGCTCCAGCAGCGGTGGCGAACAGAGACGCGGGACCCGAAGTGGTGGAGAAGCCCGCGGACCCGCCGTGCCATTCCGGGAGCGCGCTCACCTATAGGTATTTGAATGCGCTTTGGGGCTTCTACATATGCATTTCCAGTGTTAGGTTGCAAATCTGATGAAGCAATGAAGAATGTTGTTTTAGGGAGCATTTATTAAGACTTAGCAGCCCAGAACATAGACACAGGCTTGCCCCCCCCCACATTGTCATTTTGATTTAATATAGACATTGCCATGTGACTGAGACTTGGTCATAAGTAAAAATACAAGGTATTATCAAGGAGACAATTCAGGTTTGTAAGGAGAGAAAAAATATTTACTTGTATTTGGAATTTTTCATAGCTTGTACAAAAACATTTGGATTCTTACCTAATAACGTAGTACAAAATAAATTCGAAAGGATATACTGTAGTTCTCTTTTAAAAGAGGAAACCACTGATAAATTAGAAAAAATAAATTTAATAAATTGCAATTGTGAACTTCTAGCAGCCATGGATGGATCCCTGCACTGGTCTATGTGCAAAATGGCCCTTCAGTAGTTGGACATGGTTGGAAGAGGGGCTCCGAGGTCTACCCCTCAGTGCTCAACTATTTGCTACTGACAGATTCATTGTCTTAAATTATGTCCCTACTGATGACCCCAGCAGGCTCCAATGGATAGTTCTAAACCAGTGTTCACACAGATGGCCCTGGTTGAACTAAATGGATCACAAAACAAAGCCAAGCCATGTCTCCTGGAAAGGGACTAGTAGGGATGAGGGAGGGCTGATAGGGATGAGAGGGAGAAAGTGGAGGTTGGGGGAATTGCCGCCAGGCTGCATTACACACATGCATTAAATTGGCAAAGCACAAACTTAAACAAAAAATTCTCACGTATTTGGGAAGGAAAGGAATTTCCAGGTCAAAGCAAGAGAACGTGTCATTAAGGAAAACATGGACTGACTTGATTAAGTAAAACTTCTTTACATTAAAGTGAAAGAAAAGGAAGTGGGGAAAACGGTGGGCAAAACGGTGGTAGCACAGCACGTGTTCAATGCAGCAGAGAATATTAGACACTGAGGAAATAAGCTACGAAAGACACAGCCATAGTATGCCTGTAACAGCTTGTGTAATTGTGAAACTAGTATCCTTTTATTCCACACTACCCACAGAAAAGAGAACTTTGTTTATGAGAGGATTGTTTCTAATTAGTGATATAAAATGTTATAGAGGGGCTGGAGAGATGCTCAGAGGTTAAGAGCTCTGACTTCTCTTACAGAGGACCCAGGTTGGTTCCCAGCATCCTCGTGGTGGCTAACAACTGTCTGTAAACTCCAGTTCCAGTGGATCTGATGCTCTTTTTTGGACTTCTGGGGCATTGTACTACATGGGTACACTCACATACATACAGACAATGCACTCATTCACATAAAATAAAAAGCAATAAAATAAACATAAACTGTTGTCGAGTACGTACAATTCATATAGTCTGTGAAATTCCAACATGAACCAGCATTCAGTCATTCTGCAGTATTTGAAGATCGCTATGTGCTGTGCACCATAATAACTTCTGAATTGATAAATATGAATATAAGGAGCTGTTTCCCAAGGAATTTATAGCCCATGGAGGGGGCGCATTTCCGTCTTCCTTTTATTGTCTTCTAAGAACTTCCTAGAGATGACTTTTATTGTTGCTTTTTCTCTGTGTTGTATTGTGATGTTGTGATTCTTGCATTTGATTGTCCTGTGATATTTTTGAACTTCTCATTTTTAATTCCCCCCCTTTCTTCTGTTGTATAATTTGATCTTCTTAAAATTTCACAATGTATTGTTTCCCAAATTTATTCTACTGGTTGATTCTTTTTTTTTTTTACTTTTATTTATTCCTGTGTGTGTAAATGATCAGAAATTGTTGCAATTTGCAAAACATGTTGTGTGCTACAAAACTTTTCTTCCATGTTGTAGAAGTGTATATTAATGGGTTCATGTTTTAGTAAAAATACTAAACAGATACTCAAGAGATATGTAATTACAAATGCCAATGTATATCTACTATGTTTATGTGTTTCATTTTGGTCTCTGGATACATGTCTAGGCATTGGTTGAAGTGTTCTTGTGAATTATACTGACCTCAAGTTTGACCCACTCTACCCAAGTATTAAACAAGAACCATTGTGGAGGTTTTGATATTGTCTCAGGGATATATGGAGACCCATGGGACCAAGTGTCTTGAGCTAGCTTTCTTTTTTAAAAAATATTTTATTATTTTTATTTTATATGAAGGATTATATTGCATGTGTGTACGTGCACCCGTATTGTGCAATGCCTATGGAGGTCTGAAGAGGGTGTTGGATCCCGTAGGACCCCCTGGAACTGGAGTTACAGTTATTAGCTGCCATGTGGGTGCTGGGACTCGAACCCGGGTCCTCTGCAAAAATAGTCAGTGCTCTTAACCACTGAGCTATCTTTCCAGCCATCTTGAACTAGCTTTCTAAAGGGCTTATAGTAAGAACTAAAATTTGTGAAAAAGAACAAAGCAAGGAAAAATCATCTACATGTTAGCCTTATTTCAGAAAACACATAAAATCTTTTATTTGTGAAAAGTCTTTCTTGTGCGTATTTGTTGTGCCTAGAGAACGGACCCCCAAGAATAACCATGGAATCCAGAGGGCATGCAAGACCAAAGAGTCTTTATTCGGGCTTAAGCTCCGGCTCTCAGATCTCACCAACTCAATGGATCTGTGCTGAGAGCCCCATCACAGGGGGTGGAAGCCCTTTATAGGTTGTAGACAAAGGGAGGAGGGGAATAACAGTCACACTTTGATTGGCCTGAGGAGCCCGCGTTTTGAATTGATTGGTTATAAGGGATGCAGTCCTGGGGGCTTCTGATTGGTGGGTGCTACCCTCAGAGCTGTGGAATGTGCTGACTGTTATCTGTAGAGCTGGAAGGCTTTGTTTCTACCTTATAAGGCTGCTATATGTCTGGGCTTGCTTGGCCTCTTGGGGTGGGGGTGGCAGGTGGAGATTACGACATGCCTGGGCATGTTCAGGCTTGCCTGAAACAGTCAAAATGGGGTCAATACAGTTTGTCCTTTCAATCAAGCAGTCAAGCAGTTTACAGAAGCGAAAAAGAGCAGTTAGTCCTGAAGAGGGGCAGGGGTCTTGGGAGTACAGGGCAGGGGGCCAAGGAGGAGGGCTTCACATATTCTATCGTTTACTGGAGTTGGGGCAAATATTAGAATCTCATTGTTATGATTCTTAACTCTGTGCTCTACATACATATTTTCCAATTATGTTTTTAATGATATTAAAAACTACATGACAGGGGTAGAAATTTAAGAGAAATCAAAACCCATACTTAACAGGGCTGTCCCAGTGGAATGCTTGTACAGGATGTGGAGTCACTTTGAACAGTCGCTTGCTTGCTATGGATGGTCTCTTAGAGACTGGCCTCCCCAATCACAAAACATCATGTTGGGTGAAAGTAAGGGGCATTGATTTGCATTAAGTTGCTGCTTAAATTGGTTAACTGGCTTTCTGCAGAACTCCCTAGTTTAATTTGTTTTTGAAATCGTAACTGTTACAGCTTTAAAACAAACATGCCTCTGCACAGGCATTTGCATGCTGTAGCCTAACTGTCCAGCTCTTATTATTGGAAAGAAATCCAGGCAGGTGCCCTAGGGCAGAAATTACCCGCACATAGATGTCCTTTGTGGAAGGGTTAAAACAGGAAAGAGCATTATCTTGCATAGATCAGTAGCCTCAGGCTATTCTGCCATACTTCCTGTTGTTCTCTGTTTCCTAACAGCTGTATCAGAGAGCTCAGGGCCAGGCTGCACTGTCCTGCTAGTGTTAAAATATGATCTTGTTTTGTGTGACTTTATGAGTTTATTTGCAATGCATGTGGGGTGGCTGATTTTGCCTAGACATTTAAATTTTGATGTTTTCCTTGTACCTTCTTCATCCCTCTAGGCTCCAGTGTCTACATGTTCTGTGTACGTGTACTGAGGAGACATTTGATAAAATGTTTATACCAAGGTAAAAGTGATGTGTTGATCTATTCAGCCACACATTTGTTAAATATTCATGTATCTGGGGTGGTGATAAAAATACTGAGATGATACAAAACTGACTGAAGAATCAAGTGACTTTAAAGTTACTCTTCCTTCGAGTAACAAATTTTAGATGTTTTTACAATTATAACATTTATTGAGCACTGTAGCTAGGTCAAGTGATATGCTAAGTACTCTCTTGTTCAATAAGATAGACATGTCAGGGAACATTATCATTCTTCAAGTAAGAAAGCTTAGGTTGAAGAGTTGTGTGTACTGGAGATCTCATAGTACGTGAATACGAAAGCTTGACTTGGGTGCAGCAGCCTGACTCTCTAACCCATTCCCTCTTCCATTATGTCAATTAATTTAGGCAAATCTTTTAAAGGCAGATAAGATGGTAAGTGTTGGGAGTGAGCATGGTATTTCTGTGGATCCCCCAAGACTCCATAAGACCTACTACCTCAAATGCAGTCTGTAACTGTGTTTGCGCTATCCTTCCAGAAAGGCCTCAGGCTAGCTACCTCATTTCTGTCCAGGCACCTGGGTCACTAATATATTGTTTTGCTGTTTTTAGCATTTATTGCATTTATACTTCTGTATTATTTGTTGTGGAATACATAGACAACTAGAAAAAAATATCTTCAATAGCTTACCAAGTTAACTTATGAAACATAGTAATGTATTTGATGAATTAGTGTGGAGATAGGTTCTGAGATTCGAGTTTACAATGGTGGATTTTTTTTTAATCGATTTGAGAATTCCCTACAAATCCAGGAGTGGTGGTTACCTTTAATCCCAGCGCTTGGGAAGGGGGCAGGAGCAAGTAGATTTCTGTGACAAGGCCAGCCTGGTCTACATAGTAAGTTCCAGGCCAGCTGGGCCTACAGGGAGACCCCATCTCAAAAAGAATTTCATACAGTGTATTTTCATCATAGTCAGACTCCCCTCCCCATCTCCACCCACACCTTACTCTGAATTTCATGTCCTCTATTATTTTTATTATCTTTTTTTAAAGGTCTACTGAATCTGATCTGTCTCCCAAGTGTTCATGGTGTGAGTCTATCCCTTGGAGTCTGGTCAGTATACCAAGTTCACTTCAGTGAGGAAAACTGTCTCTCCCTTTCCCAACATCTGTCACTTGCCAAGGACCTTCAGCTGGGCTGGGGCTCCCTGCCCATCTTCCCCATCCATGCTAGGTTCCTGTATCCACTGACTTGGACAGATATTGTTCGTACTTTCATAACTGCCATGGGTTCGTATGTGTACTATTACATGTGTCATGTGCCATATCCAGACAGCACAGTTTCCCTGTATTCATTCACCACATCCAGCTCTGGAAATCTTTCTGTCCTCTCTACCACAATGATCCCCTAGCCTTGGGAGCAGAAGGTGTGAAATAGGGGTTTCATTTAGGGCCGAGCACTCTGCAGTCTCTTGTGCTTTGCATGTTGACCAGCTGTGGGTCGCTGTGTTAATCTTCATCTGTTGTAGGAAGTTTCTTCGGTGAGATGGAGAGATGCACTTAATCTATGGGTAACAGTAGGTCATTATGAGACAGTTTAGCAGAACGATAGTAGTAAGTTCTCCCCTGCGACCTGACTTTGTCTAGTCATGGGTTCTTGGCCCTGATAACACGTGTCAGGTATGAGCTCTATCTTGTTAAGTGGTCCTTAAATCCAATTAGTAGGTGGTTGCTTACTCCCAAACATTTGTGCCACCAATGGGCATATTTCCTCAAATTTGTTGATCTTGTAGTTCACAGTGTTCACAGCTGGGTAAGACTAGTGATCACCGTTCCCTGCCCGTAGCGTGCATAGCGTCTTCTAGCACTATGAAAGCTAACCAGCAGGAGTCATTCAGCATTTATGATGGTAGATTTCTAAAAACTATGAAATATTAATTGAGTGATAGTACATATAGTACTATATGGGTTTCAAAAATAAATCTGTTTAATAAAAACTAACTTTCACAATGCCTACCATAAAACCCATTAGGAATGCGCTGAGCTGAGGCAGAACCAAATCAAGGGAAGTTGCTTTTGCAGTCTGTGGGTTTGTTTCTCGAGTCTTCTAAAGAATAGTAAAGAGCAAATGTCTGGGGGATGACGAACCAAGATAAAGTAGAGACAGTGACTAAGTGGAGTCATTGCCCTTGGAATGCATTTGTATGACAGGACCTTTGGGGAGAGCCTCCTGGGACTTGGTAGAAAATGTTGTGGATTTGGTGAGGGTTTTGTGCAGCCATTGTTGGGGTTAGACCCAAATCGAGTATTCAGCAGGAGAGCCAGGTGTGTAAGGAAGATGCCCATTGTTCAAATAATGAAATTGTCAATGTAAGGGCTCACTGCATGTAAGGAATCAAAGCATGTAGATAGATGTGTGAGCAGGAGGCCAGGTCTGAGATGGGCAGGCAAGTCAGGATTCATCACCAGCAATAAGTACAATGGAAAGAGATACTGATCCTGGGTCCTGCTTACTGTTCAATCCACGAGGCTATAGTAAAATAATTCAACTGATTACAGTTGGTTTGGACAAAGCCTAAGGGCATAAAGTTGAAGGTTTACTGTTTCTTCTGTCCAGCATGAACAAAAGAAACAAAGAAGGAAGAAATTGTGGTGAGGTTCAGGAGGCAACTTGGCCAGAGGGGGGAGACAATGTTGTGAAGTAGAGAGGTGCTGGATATTAGTATGATACTGTAGCTTCAAGATATCCTGGGTAATCTTCTTGGACAGGTAATGTGAAGTCACCATTACTTAGGAGGAGAAGAGAGGCAGGAGAATCGTCCATGAAAATGAACTAGAGTGGGATGGACCAATAGCTCGACTGATAAAGGCTAAAGCTAACAAGCAAAGCATCAAAAATGAACAGTAGTGAAGAGGAACTCGACCTGAGTATACAGCTCTGTGACAGAGCATTTGCCTAGTATGCATGAGGGGAGGCCCTGAGTTCGAGCCCCAGCATGGGAAAAATAAATGACAGTAAACCAACTTGGAGCTTATATCATCATACATGGTTCTTAAGTTCGAGTGGCAGAAGTCAGTTCTGACTAAAGGAGGAATGTATGTAAAGAAAGTTAGATAGCCCATGAAATTGTCAGAAGGTTCAGAAAACAGGTCCAGGCCTGTACAGTTAAATTATACTTCTTCAGTGGACTGTTAAGGGAGACCGCTGCCATTGATGTCCATGTTGTGATCTCTAGAAATTACTCCCTGTTTGGATACTCAGCTCAGAGGCATCACAGGACTCACCATACAGTTGTACTGACAGCTATTATAGTGAAAGAGGACAGAAAAATGAGCACAGGGAACAGGTTCATAGGACAGTTCTGGGAAACCAGGAGCACTTTTCCAAGAGCCCACTCCCCATGGAGGCATATAGGCTGCATTGATTTCCTCTAAGGAAGTATGTTCAAAGCTAGGGAAGCTCTTTGGAGACTCTGTCCCCAAAGTTTTTATTAGGTCTGTTTGTAGAAGCATCCTCTTCCTGGCCTATGCCCAAATTCCAGACTCCCAGAAGGTGTTGAGTACAATCCATATTGTGTGTACCAAGAGGTTATGTACAGTAAATTAGGGAATGTGGAAGCCTGGGAGCAAAGAGTCTAGATGGTAGCTAGGGATAACCTTGTAAGATGACCTTTCTTGCACAAGCAGTCTTAGTGACCCCATCGTAACTCCCTTCTCTCCACTGTGAATACAGTTGTCATACCGGACACAGCCAGTCCTGCTGCTGCTGACCCAGCCTTCCTGTGAGCCATGCCGATGAGTCTAATGATGAAGTCTGGGCCATGTGCCATGTCCTCGCTGCAAAGTCTCAGAAAGTGTCAAGACCTTTTCAGCTTCTTAGGAAGGTGTCGTCATTTCCTCCCAAGGCTCATGAAAAGGGGAATTTCCTAATCAGAGGAAGTAGATCAGGTTCTGAGAACTCGTAATCATGAATGTGCTACAGACATTAGTTGTTGCACAGTCGGAAAGTACTGACTCTTCTTTTCCACACTGAAGCCAAAGAACTCTGTTCAAGCTTAGTTTTTACCTGGTCTTAACTAAAGCCGACTATTTTCATGGCTGTAGAATGCCTGTCTGCCTACTTCACCCAGTTTCCTCTTGACCTCCGCAGTCAGCGATCTGTTTATGGCTTCCGGCACGTCGTGTGCAGTGCGGCCTTTTCAGACTGCTGTGTTTTACTTAGTGATAGGTAATAAAGTTTCTTCCATGTCTTCTCATAGCTTGACAGGTCATCTGGTTTTTAGTGCCAACTAATACTGTGTTGTCTGGATTTGCTCAATACTTTTGTTCATTTACTTGTGGAAGGGTGTCTTGGTTTCTTTTGCGAGTCACTCTGCTGTAAGCATCCATCTACAGGTTTCTGTCTAGATAGGAATTTCCAGTTCCATTGAACGAGGAACATGGTTTCTGGATGCTGTGGTTGGAATGCATTTAGTTTTTAAAGAAATTTCTAAGCCTTTGTCCAACGATCCTGTATCATTTTTACTGTTGTCAGTAAAGAGTGAAAGTTCTCACTCCCCCACCTTGGTGGCATTCGGTGCTGCAGTGTTGTGGATGTGGGTCCTTATATTTGATATGTTGTGGTAGGTATTCCACTGTTGTTTCTTTTGCATTCCTTACCCACATATATCGTGAAACATATTTTTCACATGCCCATTTTCCATCTGTAGGTCTTGTTTAGTAAAGTTCCTGCAAGATCTTTGATCTGTGTGCATGCGTTTACACACAAATGTTGGGGATTGAACTCGAGTCTTCATGCCTTAAAGTGGGTTGTTTGTTTAGTTGTGGTTAAATTCCATGATGAGATTTAGAATCACCATAGAAACACATCTCTGGGCATATTAGGGAGTTTCCAAGTTTCTCGGTTGGGTTATCTGAAGTGGGAAGACCAGAGTCCATAGACAGGGACAGAGGAGTGCTGGGGTCCGGCTCACTTTCTCGTTATTCAGTCCAGGATCCTATGGGACAGTGCCCTCCACATTTGGGGGAGGGCCATAACCATTTTTACAAGACTACTTGTTACACTTAGACTCTAAATGCTGGGCCCTCTTTAGTCTATCCTTTGGTATGCATTTAAACTTTTTACAACTAATTGAATTTGCATATATTTTTGATGCACATTACATTGCTTGGAAATTTGTGTGCATTGTAGAATGCCTAAGTCAGCACATGCATTTTCATATATGATAATCATTTTAGAGGGTCAGTATGCTTTAAATATGTTGTCTCAGGGATACTGTATATTATTATAACTGTCATCATCAGCATGTACAATAGACTTCTTATACATATTCCTCTTAGGTAAGTGAAACGTTGTGTTATTTGAGTAACAACTTCCAACTCTCTGTAGCCCCTGGTAACAATTGCTGTCACTCATAATTCTATTTAATTAACCTTTTAAAATCTCATCCTCTTCCCACCCCGCTGAAACCTTCTTCCCAACACCTTTCTTCTTTCTTTCATGTCTTTCTTTTTCTCTTTTGTGACCCACTAAGTTTAATGGTTATTTGCCTGAGCATGGGTGGAGGTACTAGACAAAAGCTGTGATTATCCGACCTCACATGATTGATAACATGTTGGCCATTTGCATTTATTCTTTTGTGAAATGCCTGCTAAGAACCTATACATACTTTTTCTGAGCCAAATGATTCATAAGTCATTTATAACTATGATAGTTCTAATGAATAGATCACTATGTTTATTTTATTTCAATAAATTAGTCCAATAATTCTCATTTAATGCCTATAACTTCAAAGAATCAGGTGAGTGCTCATCTAATTAAGAGAAGAAAGCATGAATTTTGCTAATAGAACTTGAAATCTAGAATGGGGGATTAGATCCATGGCCAATGTTAAAATAATTAGAGCTATGAGATACCCCCAAATCCCATTGTGCTTAAAAGAGAGCAGTATTATGGTGAGAAAATTAGCATAGTATTCCTGGAGCAGGTGGCAGTTGAGACGGATTAGAATTCAGTAGACAGGTGGGGAGTGGGCAGTCCATGCTTAGATAAAGAATGAAAAGTTGGATTGCTTTTCATCAACAGTAAGTGATACAGTTTGGTCACAGGGAGGT